TCGTTGGATAAATCTGGTGAAGCAGTGCACCAAAGGACAGGCTGTCCAGAGTCCGCCCCGGTTTAGTAGATGAGTTTTACGTCACTGGTTTCCCCATCTGGGGCCTGGAGATAACACCTCCATGAGGCCACAGGGAAGCATCCAGTCATGACATCATCTCTCCACCCTCTACTGCTCGCCCGCAGCACCGGGCTCTCTCTCCCACCCTGTGTGCCCTCAGAGCCAGGGGGCAGCGGGCTGGCCTCCTACGGCTGTCCAGACGCCTTGTGTGAGCTCCTGGCTCCCGCCCCAAGCTGCTCCTTGTCCTCAGAAAGGACCAGCTACACTGCGTAGAAGGGGAAGGGGCGACCAGGGAAGGGTCAGGGGCTAGCCTGGCAGAGCTGGATGTAAACCCAGCACCCCTGTGTTATCCCTCTCTGCAGACCCGCCAGCTGGGTGCACCCTGCACAGCCCGGAAGGAATGTGGTGACAGCTAGGGAGGTTTTGAACAAGGCCAAGAAGGAAACGATGACCAAGTCAGACATGGAGGGAATGGGAGAAAGGGAATACAAGCCTCTGACCCCTGCTAATCCACTCTCTGAAAGTCCGGGAGCAGGCAATGAAGGCAGGATGGAAGAGTAACTCGATTTTCCTAAAGGTACACATTTTCTAGGAATTGCTGCTCAGCAAAGTCCCCCCACCCCCCAAAAAAAGGAAAGAAAGAAAAGAGGTTGGGGATGCATCTGCTGAGGAACCAGAAAGCCCAAGTCCACGGCCACTGTGTATACGACCAGTGGTTCCTGCTGCAACCTCCAGGGCCCAGGTTTCCCAGAGATTAAGTCCATACACCAATGGAGAACCCAGACGTCACTTTATCTCCCTGCTCTATTCACCTGCCAATGACCCAGTGTACCAACAATTGATGACACTTTTTTTCTACTTTACAGACATAAGACAAAGTAGTTACCTTGCTCATTGTCACACAAATAATAGAAAGCAGAATGGCGAGGCTGAGATGACAATTTGTTTTCGTTTTAAAGGGAAATTATTTAAGGCACAAACTTGAAGATGGCTAACTGGGTCTGGGGTTGGTAGGGGGCGGAATAACAATCAGACTACGTCACCAAGGCTGAGCTGCTGCTGGGACCGTGTGCCCCTATCTGTCCCTCTGCTGCAACCCTGCTCTCCTCAGGGCTCCAGGTCCCCTACTTTCTTAGGGTGGGGGTAGGGTGAGCCTCTCCAGGACAGCTGGGGAACTTTAGCTACCTCCAAGGTGTTTCAGTAACTGAACCCCTGACAGGGCCTGCTCTGGTCCGAGAGCCAGCTGGTGCGTTCTAAACAATGGCAAGGGGTGTGGGCAGTGGGGGAGGCTTATGAATTAAAAATAGATGCTGGTAGTCACCAGGGAGCTTGCAGAGAGCATGTGGGGCTGTGTTTACTAGAGAGAGAAGAATGCCTCCTATTCATGCCCAGAAACCAGGGTGGAAGCACCACTGCTTCTCACATCAACCACTGGCCTCTGGGTGTGGGGGAGTCAGCTGACAGAGCTGGGTTGACTGACAGCTGAAAGACCCCTCTCCTAGGACATAGAAGCACTCCTTCTCCTCAGGAACCCCCAGGGCCACGCCCATCCTTGGAGGGACAGCTCCAGGTCAGGAAAGCAATATAACTAAAGAGGAAGTGGCACCCAAGAGATCAGGTCACACTCCTTGGGCAGAGGCAGACTTGCTCCCGATGGATTATGCATAAAATGGTCCCTCGTGGTTTTGGTGACTTCAGATCTGTTTGATCTGTGGACACACCAGACACATGGGATCTAGTTCCTTCTCTGACATGAACTAGCTGGGTACCTTCAGGCAAGCAGCTTCTTGATTCCTCTAGGCCTCAGTGTATCCAACTGTAAAATGGAGATCATAATACCTGCTCTGGTGCCTTCACAGGTATGTGAGTAGATTAACCAAGCAGTATAAAGTTTTGGAAAGCTGAAAGTTCTAAATAAGAATAGAAAACAGTCATAGGAACAACTATGTCCCCCATCACCACACTGAACCCAGGGAACCATTCCCCAGGCAGTCTCCTGGCCTGGTCTTGATCAACAGCACGAAAAGAACTCTGCCTGCCCCCCAGATATCTCGGGAGCAGTGGGAAGACCAAACACAAGCCACATAGAGAAGCCTCAGGCGCCCGCCAGCTGATGTGCCTGCCCCTGTACTCCTCAGCCCCTGTGTTCCCAGCCCGCAAACATCTATGACTCTTCCCAGCTTCTCACAGTGCCCACGGCCCACCCACTCCATCTGCTCAGGTGGCAAAGACTACAAGGTTCATTGTCTCCCTTCTCGTAAAGTAGCTATAGTACCAGAGACCTTCGCTCAACAGGATTGCTCTAATTTGATTTTTAAAATGTATTCACTGACTCAGCAGTGAGGGGTGGGCCAGGCTGCTGTTGCATACACAACACCTGTCCATTAAGAGCTGAAAGTTCCTCTGGGCCCCCCAGGGGTCTCCATTCCACAAGGCCATGTCACCCCTTTGGCGATACATCCAGATCTCACTCTGGAAGAGACTTCTTTGTAGTTGAAACTATGCTTGCAAATGGTCCAGTGCCATCATTTTAAATACTAACTATATACTGACAACTCCCAAACGTATGCCTCCAGCCTGGATCTCTCCCCGAGACTCCAGATTCATTCTTCTGACTGCTTACTTGGCATTTCCATGTGGATGTTTAATAGTTATCTCAAATGTAACATGTCCAAAACCTGCTCTGATTTCTACTCCCACAGTCCTTGCCAAATATTTGTTCCATTTGCCATTTTTCCCCATCTCAGTTATTGGCAATTTCTTCTTTCCAGCTGCCAGGCCAAAACCCTGTGTGCCATCTGTATCTATTCCCTGTCATGCCCCACATCCGTCAGAAATGGATGTAGCTCGATCTGAAACAAATCCAGAATCCAGTCACTTCTCTTCGCCTTCTCCGTGCCCAGCCTGGTGCGAGCTGCCATCATCTCACCCCTGGTGGATTCCAACAGCTTCCTAGCTGGGGTCCAAGCCCATGCCCTGGCTCACAGCCTATTCTCCAAGCAGCAGCCAGAGTGATCTTCTTAAAAGGTGTCACTCATGTGTATAAAACCTTCTGACATCCTTTCTTGAGAAAAAAGTCAAAAGCCCTTTTCCTGGCCTACTGGGTCCTATGTGATCTGCAACCCTCCCTGCCCACCTTTTGAAAACCAACAAAAATCAAACTGCCTCAACCCATAATCATTGACCTTTCTTCTCACCAGAGGAGCTACACATGCTGCCTCCCCTTCCACCATCTCCTCAATGCACTGAAACTGGTTTCTTGCTGGTTACCAGTGACCCCCCCTGCTGGACACGGCCCATGTACATTTCCAAATCCAGATCTGACCTGTCACCCCTGTCATATTTCACTCTGAGTACTTCCTCCTCCTTCAAACTCTTTTTTCCTTTTACTTTGGCGTTCTCTCTCTCCAGGTTTACTCCTACGTATGTGGCTGCTCTGTCTCCTCCATGTCATATCTGTCCTTGGCCTCCTTCTCACTTGATGCATGCCCTTCCAAGGTCTCATCCACACCCATGATTTCAAGCTCAATGCTGACTCCCAGGGCACAAGCCCCAGCTCAGACCTCGCTCATGAACCTGACCACTAGTAGGTGCTCTGTAGTCAGAAAGCTCCAAAACTGAACTCATCATTTTCCTCCCAAACATGCTCCTTCCCCGTTTCCTCAGCTAGAGAATGCCGCATCCATAAACCCTGGAATCAACCTCTACTCCTTCCCTTTGTCTTCATGTCTCATCTTACACTACTAGTTCTAATGGCCAAATGTCTTCTAAATTTGTCTTCTTTCCATCCTCAGTGCTGTAGCCTAGACGCCTACAATAGCTCCTAAAATGAATTTCCTTGACTCCACTCCTGTTTTCTTCCCAATCTATTGTCTACACTGAGACCCAGAGGGAGCCCCTCCTGACTAACACCCTCTGATAGCTTCAGAGTACCCCTAGACTCAACATGGCAAGCAAGGCCTTTTGTGATCTGGCCTCAGCCTACCTGTCAGTCCTCCAAAGTGCTGGACACTCCAACTACACTGAACCCCTAGTAGCCCATGGCACCAGCTTACTTGCTTTTGTATATGCTACACCCTTCCTCCCCTTGTCCCTCCCCACAGTTCTTCCCTGGATAAATTATACTCCTTCCAGATTCAGCTCAATGGCTTCTTCCAGGAGGTCTCTGCCAAGTCCCCTTCCCCCACTGGTCCCTTCTCCCCCAAATATCCCACAGCCTCTATCACAGCCTTATCACCCCATTCTGTCCATTTACCCATCTGTCTCCCCTCTATTCAGTGAGCTCCACAAGGACAGCACCTCTGGCTTGTTTATTCTTATGATACATAACAAGTATCTGATAAATACTTGTTATATTAATAAAAGAATAAATATAGAAATTCGGCAAGTACCAAACTAGATAATCTCCTTACCAAACAACTCTTCATGGATTCCTCCCCTCTCTTCTTGGGTTAGTAATAATAATAAAAATGATTATTCCAAGTATTTTACATATATGAACCCATTTAGTTCCTACAGCAACTCTATTATTACCCTCATTTTCAACTGGGGAAACTGAGGTACAAAGAGGTTAAGTGACTGATGAAGCTAGTAAGTAGCAGAACCAGGATTGGTTCTAGACTGTGCTCTTAACCACTGTCCTGATTGCCTCTCCATAGCATGTTTAAGGAAAACAAATCAAAATTAATATCAATCAGCCTGAGGAAAATATAATTGTGAAACGAACAGAAATTATCCCTTTGGGATCATCTCTTGCTTTTGGCTTAGTCTGCTTCTGACTCTTTCCACCAGGCAGACAGCTTTGCAGGTGGCCAGGTGTCCATACCCACCAGGCAGGACTTCCAGCTCAGCTTCCTAGGTCCAGTCTCCCCCCAGCAGATGGCGCTTGCCTCTGAGTAGCGCCCCCCACTCCGGAAGGCCCTTATCTTCTCCTGCCTCACCTTGTCCCCGATGCCCTCCGCCTCCTCGGCCAGGAGGTACACGTTGCTGCCGTCAGCCAGCAGCAGGGCCGTGTCGGTGGTAGAAGAGGAGCGGGGCCGACACTGGTGCTGGTGCAGGATGGCAGCCAGGCTGCTGTCCTGGGGGGCCTTGCGCAACAGGTGGGGGCTGCCTCGCTGGGGCTCCAGGGAGCTGCACTTGGTGCGCCGGCTGCTGCTCCCGCCGCTGCTATGCAGGCTGGCGCCCCGCTTGATGGAGGGCCGCGAGCGGATCTGCTGCAGCACGCGGTTGAAGGCGGTGGGTCGGGCGGGCAGGTCGTGCAGGGACATGGCGTAGGAGACCCGGTGCATCTCGGGGGAGCGCTCCTTCTCATCTGCGGAGTCATGGTCAGACACGCCTTGCTGCTGCTGCTGCTGCTGCTGCTGGGAATCCTGAGACGTCTGATGCTCCCTCTCCCGCGACCGGCGGCGGCTATGGAACAGGTGCTTCAGGCCGTGGCCAAACATGGAGCCCTCTGAGAGCTGCTGGATTTTCTTAAGGGGGAGACACAAAGAACCCTGGTAAGTGGAAAGCTCTTGAATGCCTAATTGGTGAGGACAGAGGTGAGGAGTCTGTTCTTGGGAAATCAGTGTTGCCACTGCGGCTGTCTGAATCTGGAAGATCCCTGTGAATGGCCCATCGCACCTAAAAGGTCATGCCTTGCAGAAAGGTGGCAACCCTAGATCCACTCCTTTCATTCCAAAGAAATGCACCGCCGTGGCTCCCCACAAAACACTCCCAATCCACACATGGGTTCAGGTTTCTGGTCATGAGATCCCTGCGGCTAGTCTGGGGCTCAGAGGTACAGGCAGCGCTTGCTCATGAGGTTGTATCCCTCCGGACTGACTTCCCCCTGCACACAGTCCCTTCCTCCTTCTATGGTAGGTCCTCCTTCAAGCTCTGTTAGCTCCTCTAGACCATCAGGCATCCATTTCCAAAGAGATCTCATTGTAACACTCTGTGGGAAAATCAGGGTCATACAGTCATGCTATACTGTTGCAGCAGACACTGCTAATGGCCCACTTAATAGCGTTTCCCCTTTCTTTCTTAATAACCAAACTGTATGGCCTTTGTGCATCTTGCTAAAAATTCTTACTTCATCAGACTCCCTTGCAGCTAGGAGTAGCCACATGACACAGTTTGGGCCAAAGAAAAGCAAGGTGAGAGTTTCTAGAAAGACTTTTGCTTTCCTGATAAAGGTCGTGACCCTTCCTACTTCTTCCCATCTGAAATGTGGAGGTAATGCCTGGAGATACAGCAGCCATTTTGCAACAAGTTGACTGGCATAACAAGAAAGACCTACACATACAGACACACACACACACACACACACACACACACACACACAGACACATACTCGGTAGAGCCCCAAGGGACAGGCCTGTGACCTGGATGGCACAACAGAGCCACCAGACCAGTTGTGAAAGCCTATCTTCGGATTCTTGCTACATGAAATTTACCATTTTCTACACCACTTTAGTACGATTTTCTGTTATTTGGAGCCAATCTCATCCCTGATATAGTTTGCAATAAAATAAACTTTACTGGAATTTCTGGGTCAGTGAACACGTCCCCATGCCAGGAGCGTGAGACACCCCAGTTCCTTTGGGAAGGAAGCACCTGCACTTGGGATGCCTGTAGACCTCGCCCTTCGTACTTCCTTAACTGGCTTTATAACAAATTTGTATCCTTTATAACATCTGTATCCTTTATAACAAATTGGTAAACATGATAAATAAACTTCACTTCAATGGGAATACCTTTAGTGGTCAGTAATGTGACCACTTTGTTAGCATACGTATCAGTACCAGCTGTCCAAATGAGTGCCATTGCCCTCACACTAGAACTAACCAGAGTCCCTGGCCCCCAGTGCTGCCCTGGCAGCAGTCTGCCCTTTTAGCTCTGCCGCTGAGATTGCCCACCTGCTCCCTAGGCAGGGCTGCTCGGCAAGAGGCAGCTGGACCACCTAGCCAGGGCCAGACAACGTGTGGTATAATTCCAGACAGCTGCTTCTGTCAGGGGGCTGACTTAACTGGTTAGGCCGAGCCCTCAGCAGAGCCTCAGAGCCAATGGGAGGAGGGCTGGCACTTGGAGGACCGGGCGAGAACCCACGCTCTGTAACTCCTAAGCGGGGAAACTCAGAACCCAGCCATTTGGGGCTCCATGAGCGACAGCGGGTCTTCATCTGTGAGGAACAGCCTGAATCGCATGAGGCAGTCTCCCTCATTTAAAAAATATTCCAAAGAATTACACTTACCAGATTTTCTTTTTTTCTAGAAACAAACTTACAGAGCAGAAATCTTAGACCATGTAGAAACCAAGAAAACACCATCTTTAGATATGAGTTAGCTGACCCTACTCTGTTACTTCATACTGCAGTGTTGTTTGTAGGCCACTGCATCTGCATGTCAATAACTATATTACCATATATTTGTGTAAAAGTTTAGGATTTTCATATTTCACCTCGCTTGAGTCTCACCGCAATCTCAAAGTGGGTGGGCCCTTGTATCACCCATTTTACAGACCAGATAAGTTATATCATCACAACTCAACATGAACTAACAGTTCACAGTGTTCAATGTGCTTTTTCTCCTGCATTATCTCACTTGATTTTCCCAGAAACTAACAAAAGCAACAGCAGTAGCATTTCCATTTTTTGATGAGGAAATTAAGACTACCACTGTTCCTTCTCAAGTATTTAATTCTGGGGCAGCCCTGGGGACATTAGGCTCCACAGTGCCAGGTTTTCCCACAGGAGTCAGCATCCTCTCAGAGCCAGCCTGAAGCAGGACCACCTGAGTCTACTTCAGATAGAACCAAGACATCCAAGGTAGACCAGACTGGGGAGTACATTCCGCCACCAATTAGAAAGGGCCTCCAGACCAGGGATGAGCCAAGATACCTCCCTCGTCCTCAGGCCCAACCTGACACCACACCTCACTCCCAGTGTCACGGATGGGCCGGCTGGCTCCGGCATTTGTCCAGCTGCTTCTGCCAAATGGTCACATTACATATTACGAATTGTCTTTCTGGCATTCTATTCCAGGTCTCTTTCTCCTCTCCCCACCTCTCCTAAACTAGCTTCTCCGGTACCAAGGCCAATCTTCTACATTCACTCAGGTAAAGAATTTCCTTCCAAAGACCTCACGAGAGGACCTGGAGCCCAGAAGCATTTCCTTTCCCTCAACCTCCTGAAAATGGTGGAGGTGCTATGGACAGCAGCCACCATGGTTTGCCATATTGCCTTGGTCAATTTATTTTTCATATTACACAACAGTTTTCAATGTGCTTTCCAATTTATGCTGTCATTCCAGCCTGATGCTAGCCCACCCTCAGGAAGTAAGCTGTGACAGATACAGTAGCAGTGTTTCCATTTTGCAGTTGAAGAAACTGAGGCCAGCACAGTTAAGTGGCTCATCCAAACCACACAGATGAACCCCCAGGTTCTAGTCTAATTGACCTTCAGTGGCTCATACACTCATCCCAACATTAAAGTGGATAATTATCTGATACTGTCCCCGAACAGTATCAAAGGCAGGATCAAAACAGAAGTGCCTAGGCCAGGGGGAGTTCAGTCCCCTGAATTGTAGCGTAGTGGTGGATCTGCCTGTATTACATGTAGGACTAGGGCAAGACATTTAGCCACTGTAGACTTTATGTCCCATCTCCCCACCTGTTCTGCAGGTAAAGAAAAGCAGGAACTCTGCCCTAGTAGCACCAAGGAGTCTGCTAAGGTCTGTGGTGGGCATGAAGGAAAAGAACAAAAAAGAAGTCAAAGAATAATGGACAGAGGGACTCCGAACGCAAAGGTTTTCCCTCACTTGCAGAGGTGCAAGGCAAGAAAGCAGGCTTAACAGGTCTGCTTCTCCATGTGGGTGTCAGGGAGGAGATGGTTAAGGAGTTTTGACATACCATGGTAAGTATTTAAAAAAAAAAAAAAACTCAGCACATCCACATAACCAGCCACAAGTTTTGGAAATGAGGAAAATCATGGTGACTAGCTTGAGGGAACTTAGCCACCAACGCAGCAGAAAGCACCACCTGCTCTGACTAACAGGTTTCAGCTACTAAATGTCACTTGCTTTTCCACACTGACTTTTGCTTTTCCCCAGCTGCTAGAAACCATTTTGGTGGCCAAACGAAGCCACATATTAGGAAAAGAGAACTGAAATGTTTCAGAGCTAGAGGTGGGACACAAACAGCTCTCCTGATCCAAGAAAACAGGCAAGAACTACGCCCACCCCCACCCCCAGAACTGCCCAGAGGCTGGAAGTGAGCCAGAAAGGAGAGCTTCGGGGCCAGGTGCTTATACACAGAGAAGTAAATGAGGGAAGGTTGCCGTCTCCTCCCCTGGAACTATCTTTCAGGGCAGGAAGGACTCTATCTTCGTTGGGTGCCCTCATCCTCTCAGGAAGAAGGGGTGGAGTAGATGTTTTCTGAAAGATCCTTCCTGAGAAGTCTGTGGTCTCTGAACAGTTAGGCTTCATCCGTTTTCCTCCCTGAGTGTGGGTCCCCCAAAGAGGAAGTTTGCTCCAAAATCTGCAAACACAGCTGCATGAGGCCAAAAGTAAAATGCTTCAGGGTACAGAGACTTTGCCACCATCTGATTAAAAATAGCCAAAGCAGCTTCTAATTCCTACAGGTCCCTGTGTTCTTAACAACTCCCAAAAAAGCTTAAGTCACACTAACTTACAGCTAATTGTCCCACCTGGCAGCTGAATGCGTGTCCCTTCCTCCCACCTGGGTTTGAAACTCCCTCTGCCCCGCCCCAAAGGTTCAACTATTAGGGTTCAGTTGGGTGACTGGGTCACCGTGAGCCTTAGCAAGCCTAGGTCGCCAACGTTCCTCTATTTATAAGGTCTCTATGGAAACAGGGCCAGCATTAGAGAGCAAATCGCTGTAAAAACCCACAGAGTCCTCTCAGGATACGAAGTGGATTGCGGAAGTCTCTAAATGCTCTTCAGAACCTTTGGTTGAGGAACCTGGGATTGGAGCAGGAGAGGAACCGTCACCCAAGGTTTGGCACTGAGGGCCACAAGGAAGACTGAACAGCCGTTCAGGCTTGTTCGGGGTTTCTATTAGAAACATAGTGATAAAGATTTTTGGAATCATTTCTTCTCCAGTGTCATACCTGACATTAAAAACAGACCTCGACTCAGGGGCAACTGATCACCCCATTCCCAATTTTATTTTAATTCCTTGTTTCTTTACTCACAGGATTCTGGCTGGAGCTAATGCAAGTCGGGAAAGGTGACCTCACCTACTGGGTCTTTAGGCAGAACAGACTCAACATACACCAGCAGAAAGACTGTGATTCAAGTTACCTACATGTGATTCAAGTGCCCTCTCTGACCACCCCAGTCTGCAGTGAGCTCATCACCCTGCTCTGAACTCCAGAGCTCATTATCTGCAATTAATCATGTACTGCCTCGTGACATGGCTTCTCTTGCTCTCTCAAACTGTCACCGAACTTTTCAGAGGCTGAAAAGAATAT